TATGCATTGCCTGACGAAAGACAAGCTTCCGCGGGTCAGCTATGTAATCGGGCTTCATGTCACTGAAATGGTGGCAGCACATCTGGCCAACTTCGTTATATCCGAAGCGGATCTCTTCGGCAAAGCTCGCAGTCATCAACATCGACACGTCGCAGGTAGACAGCTGCCGATAGCTTATTCACACGGCATATGCAAAAGACTCTCGCGCCACTCGTCAATTTCCGGGACCCAACCATATACGCCAACCTTATACTTAGACGACTCGCAAAGCCAGATGCATGAACAGGTTATGACTGCTAGCGTATACAAACCTTGCCTACCAATCGAAGCCTCCTTATGGACCTGATGTTTCAATCGTATCAGGCTTGGCGGTGCCAAGCTTTGCAAGAACGTCAACTCGGCTCTCTTGAACACTCCCACAACACTGCGCGACAACGCTTAGAATGACCGCATGTCTGGTCATTTAGTTCCGATCTCTGTTTCAACCTGGTCGCTCCTTTCATGCTGCATATTCGGGTGCGTGGCCGATCAGGAAAAGTTCGGTGGGAACTGTTTGGCTTGGAGCTATGGTAATGTCCTCATATCCCAGAACAGCTTCTACATGCATTAGACTTCAACTGGCGGGCTACTGGTAGTCCCACCGCATGTCAGAAGAGTGCTGCCAGTACGTTACTCGCCCATGGGCAGCAAAGCTGGGTATATCTTTTTCTTCTTCTCTCTCCTATTCTACTGCACCGCTACCTGCACTCATCTCACAGCTAGCCAACTCTACTAATACTACTCAATCACTATACACCACCTCGACATATATTCGGCGCTCCTGAGATACCTACACACAACGTAAGACATCTGACTGCCCAAACAAATTGAATTAGAAGCTCACATACTCTACAGACCACAGATACAAGACTAGTATATTGTGTTCAAGATGGCTACTCAGTATGCCACTCAGATGAGTCGCGAGGAGTATCTTAACAACGGGTACTCCTCTGTCTCCTCTGCAGAGATCGACAGCATCTCGACGGAAAGGACCTCAGATGACCGTCCTCTAGGATGCAGCATCTGCATGACGGACTTCGTCAACCCGATCAGACTGCACGATGTGATGGCTGATGGTAGAAGGCAAATCTACTGCCATTCATGCGTCATCCCATGGTTGACGACCAATAACACTTGTCCAGACTGTCGTCACGAGCTCTTTGCGAGTGTGACAGTCATCGAGCATGTTGACTCGGATGCCGTCGAGGACGACAGCATGCTCATCGGTCACGACCTGGACGACAACTCAACGGTCGACGTAGAGATCCTCGTCGGTCTCCGCCACATCGGGAGTCGCCTCCGGCAACAGGTGCCGGCTGATAGGCGCGATGTATGGTGGCGTTTCGCCGGCAGCGCGCCGATGGAATCGATACTGAACAGCCGCGCTCGCCACTATCTAGACGGGACGCTGGACATCCAGCGATACCCTCACAGCTATGCAAGGACGTACAGCAATCACGGCGCATATCCGTCGACGTCCTACCGGCTGGACAGCATTGCTCTCAGCGACCGTCTCAACGACGCATACTTGGGACGATTATATGCTGCCCTTGGCATCGTTGATACCGCGGGATCAGTCTACCGACCAACGGCTGCTTGCCATCCTATCGCCACCATCGTCTACAACGCCCTGACAGAAGCCATCCGACAACCATGTGCGGATGAGTCTCGGCTTTCTCCAGCTCATATGGAGCAGTTCCTCCAAGCCGTTATCGAACGGAACCCAAGCGTCCGCAATGCCTTTGCAAAGGCGTCTAGCTCGCAGACCATGCCGTCTGGCATGGAGGAACACGTTCGAGATCTGATCAGCGAGGTCGTGGACGAGCTGATGAAGGGTGAGGTTGCCCCTGTCGACATCCCAGCAGGGCCGCAAGGATCCCCAGCGGCGGAGTTAGCTGCGACGGGACGAGGCATGATGTCCAGCATGAAGCCCTCACGAAAGTAGCTGGTAACATCCCAGCAGTGCCGCTTAAGCTCATTGGAAGTGTAGTCGGCTGCGATAGGTGGTTATCGATTGTTATCGAGCACGAGAAGCTGGTAGAGCTGCGGGATATGTCTCAGCAGCGCCGCTTCTCCTCAAGGGCGGTATAGTCGGCTGCGACAGATCATGGAGTATTGTCAAGGATGAGAGGCTTGCAGAGTCGTTGAACACATCCCAGCAACGCCGCGTTGGCCGCGTGCTGGTATACTCGGTTTCGTGCGATCAGGGCAAGCTGACAGCTGTGAGATGCTGGCGGAAGAGTGGTAAGATCCCAGCACCACCGCAGTGCCATGTGGGTAGCATACTCGGCTTCGAACGATTGTTGCAGAGTATTTCGCTTGGAGAGCATGAATGCAAATCGTTAGGCATCGATAGCATAAGAACGAAGTTTCGCCTTCCCAATAGTACCATCTCAAAGCGCTGTCTCGTGGATTGCCCACACGTGAGGGCTCGTGTATGCTGAGATGAGCCACGCAGAAAGAGCCATGGCCATGATCCAGGCACGAGTCAGCACAAAAAGGCTCGGCTGCCCGAGCCGGAAATCCAAAGTTCACCTCAGCGCACCTGCCGTCTCGTCTCGTCTGGTCCTTCGTGCCCATGAACACCTCCTTCCATCATCAAGTGTGTAATACTTTGCTGTGTGTCCTCATCATGTGCACAGAATCTGGTTGCTGAAGGATCCGTACTCTGAAACCCATTCTGACTCTACTTTCCACCCCTCGAGGCGTCATGTGTTGGAAGTACGCCTATACGTACGATGGACAAGAGATGCAGAAGGTCGGGAAGGCTTTGTACACAGGTTGAAGAAAAGAGATGCGGGAATGTGTCTTATAGTAACTCCCCGATGAGAAGAGATATTTGCAGCCCGATGGTATTAGCACCGTTCGAGATATTCTGCCTATCATGGAGCGAGCAGAAGTAAAAGCAGACGGACTGGCAGGCTTCTAAAATCGCTGTATCAAGCCAGCAACGGCTGTCAAGGCTTGAAGCGGCTTTGGAACAGCTGTCTGTACGCTGCAAATATGCTTGGAAACTGCCCACATGTGAGCAAGCTGGTGGTGTCCTCGCGGCGAGACACGTCGTAGGCCAGCAGACAGGGCAGATAGGGCAGACTGGGCAGACACATAATTTTGGGTCAAGCAGCAAAGACTGAGAGCCACGGGCTGGTGCAGAGGAACCTGGGCGCTGGTTTTCGTTCATTTGGCCAGTTGTCCAGGATATGCCGGCGAACGAGCAAGCGGTCTGCCTTGCAGGAGAAGTCTTACCACTCCCGCGAAGAATCGCATGACGAGGGTGAAGATAACCAGCGTTGTATCGGCTGGACTTAACTCCTAAGTCAATGAGAGCGCTCCTGACAGCCCGGCACCTGGCCTAACGTTTTCCGCAAGATTTTTGTCTGGCTGCACGAGTGTTCGTTCCTTCGGCCAGTTGTCCATGATCTCGCAAAGCCGCACTGTCTCTTGCATAGTTGGGATTTTCCATACTGGTGTATCCCGTGCCCTCTGGCATTCTTTCTGGCGCATTGTCGGTCGTCCCAGAGAATTGGCAGCGGGATAAGGATCGTGGTAACTTCGCTTTGGCCATGGAGGATGCCTCTGGTCGAAGGACAGGCTCTGGTGGAAATGGTCGCGGGTATGCAAAGAGAGCCACTGTTGCAGTGATTGTCAGCATGAGCATGCCGCGATCGTCGCTGTACCGATCCGTTCGCTTATGGCGAAGGTGTGCTCATAAGCGGTGAACGAGGTCGTATGCCGCCTGCGTCGCGTTGCCATTATCGTTTGCCATTATCGTGCTGTTCGCCTTGCTGTGAATGTGGTGGCATGGCGAGGCTGTTTTGTGGCGTGTCTGCTGAGGTGGCAGCTCATAAAGAGGTAGCTCATGCGGAGATGGCCATGGTTGACTGCGATGTGATGCAAAAAGGCGATATGATGGCGGAGCGACTCAGATTTGATCTCATCGAGGAGGACAAGCAGCACGAAATCAGCTTAAAGACGAAGGTAAAAGGTGGCTCGAACATGCAAAACGAAACCTCCGCCTTCCCAGCCTGTGACTGAGGGGCTGGTGAGGCCACTTTATGGGAGGAAGGTCACCCTTTGGGTTTATGCCGGCTGCCGCTGCCGCTGCCACCGGACCTAAGGTACCTTAGGCGGTGGGGCCACTGCGAGAAGAAAGTGTCAGCAAATGTGCAAGTAACCAAGAATTTGACGCCCACTGGAGTTGAACCAGCACTCGTACAGATAAGAGTCTGCTGCGGAGGATCAATCCACGAGGCACCGACCGCGACTGTGGAGAATAGTTACTTACCCAGTTCCACCGCCGTCGAAAAAGCAATCAAGCTTGCAAGTTATACTAGCTTACCCAACGCCGAGGTCTCTCCAGCTACGACGATGCCGTAGCGGTGATGATGTCCATCTGAGCCAGAAGCAAATCCCTAATGGAAGGTCAGTGGGTCTTAGAGAACAATCTCCGTGCACTTGAACAAGTAGCCGAACGTCGATGTGGCCATGGTCAATTGATGGAGCAAACGAGCCTCGGCAGGAAAGCAGCTGGAACTTGCGGCATCGAACGATGGTCGCCAACCACGGCGTCTCAAGCTGCTAGCAGATTATCCTGCCATGTCAGCAAAAGCGTTGGCTCGCACTGGTATGAACTCGCAACACGTACCATTGCGTGGCTAGCACGGGAGTGACATGGTGCTGCTGAACGGACTTTGTCGAAAACTCAAAACAGAGTGAAGAAACGAAAAAGAAAGACCCCTCAGGGCCGGAGCTTTTCTGCTCCGACTCCTATGGGGTCAGCATATCACACCACACAAGTTTAATACATACCAATGTTCCAGATCCAGTCCAGATCCAGATCCAGGGTTGTCGACGCCACCACCGCTGCCAAATGCCACACCGCACACTGCACGAGAAGGGAAGACATGACGTACCCTGGGACAACTGTTAGCAATTGTCGTAAGTCGCAACTCGAAGAAGTTTGCCACAGATCTGGTTCGAACAGATGACCTCTCTAGATAGCTTCTTGAAAGAAGCAATAGAGCGCTCTACCACTGAAGCTACAATGGCGGGAGTGCGACTTACTATTTGTCCTCACCAGCTGAGCTGGATCCTCGGACGAAAGCACAATGAAACAGTGGTATAATATAGCTAGCTTGCAATGGCCGAAGTTGCCCCACGGCGGCGAGGTAGCGGCAGCGAGGTTCTCCGGAACAACGAGCAAATACTCGGAGGAAGATCAGTCGGTGCTGGAGAACAACCTCCAATGCTTTTGTAGCCATAGTCAAGGCCATAGAGCATATTGTAGCTCATGGAGGCTGGTGGTGGTGGTGCTCCTTCAAACTTGGCGAAGTCCAAAGCAGTGTTGACTCCGCCGCAATGCTCGTTCTGCACGGTTGAGCTCCATCACAACTCCACAACAGAGCACCAGTCTGCAGAGTGTCTAACCATCATGCTTCGATGATCGAAGAACAGCAGCGTGAGCAGTGGATCTCAGCCAGGCCAGCGGCGTGGGCGCAAGCTCATGATCTCGCTTCTTCCGACCTCCGCTCAGGATGGCGCATATCCCTCATGCGAAAGGACTGTTCTTCGAAGGCCATTGGGGTACCGTAGAGTGCGTGCCACGCTATCACACTCGCGCATTACGACCTCCTTCCGCGGCGCGAGATGGCCCCGTTCACCAACAGCCGCACTTTCTTGCTCCGCGCAAAACCTCAGCAACCCAGCGGCATGCGAGCTGGCGACATCAAGTATTCGCAGGACGACCACTGTTCACCACACTGCTGGTCCTCGACTCGGAGAACAATGAGGTCGACCCTCTCGAATACCCCTTGCTTCGGCGCACCCACACCTCCGGAGCGGAACTACCTCCCCTGACCACAGCGCAAGGGCTGCATTGGATCACAAGAGATCGGAGGCAGATGCAGCTGGCAGTACAATACACCACTGCACCTCCACTCTCACAGAGCGGGTCCGAACGCGGCCGCCTATGACCTCCCTCGGCCAGCCAGGCAATCTCGAGCAAAAGATGGAGATACCGTAAGCTTGTATTGGCAGGGAAGTCTTGCAGAGACGGCGGGTTCATACCACAATAAGCAGGAGCTGGAAGATGGTGCAGGCTCATTGCAAAATCGTGCAATTATACCCGGACGCGCCAGCCAACCTTTTGTGTGTACGGACATCCGTGCGCTCGTTTGGCGCGCGACGCTCACGGTTCTCGATGGTTCATGGTACTTGCCCATGGTCGTGGTTTGGTTTGTTGCTGCTCCGCCAGCGAGCGATTGGTCTGGTTTCGAGGGCTCCGCTGAACGGCCCTCTCCAAACGGAAAACACCAGCGTAAATGCCGCAGTGGAGGCCGCCTCAGGGGAAACATAGGCCTACCACGAAGGTGCAGTATCCTCAGGCGCCATCGCGGTGCTACAGCGCAAAAGTGAGGGCCACTCCAGAGGGGGTAGGGGGTAGGCAGCATGAGGCGGAAATTCCGCATGCAGCGAGCTTGCCAAGGCGTGTCTCACTATCTCACTACGGTTCCAATAGTTCCAGCGCTCGGATCTCGCAGTTGGTACGATTTCGAGCCTAGAACCCAACCAAACCGGATCACCGACAGCACTGTGTGACCCCTGAAGCCTCTTCGCGGCGTGGATATTGTACAAAAGTACAGGCGGAGCAACACCGTCGCAGGGCAATAGCGGGGAGTATGGAGGCTGTGAGCACCGGATGCAGTTCACGCATCGTGTCGCTCGTTCACGCCACTTCGTATAAGCGCAAGACACAGGAGATACCTGGTCATCTGTGACAGAGCCATGGATAGCGGATACTCGCCTGGCGGTGTGCGCTGAAGCCCGCTTATTCTGATCTCGATCCTGTGGATGACCGGGCACAACGTACGAGGCGAGTCAGCGCTAACATCAAGGTACTCGGCAGCTCGAATGAGTATTCCTAGCCTCACGGCTGCCTACTTCTCGGAAGCGCAGTGTTCATGAGCTCCGCTCCTGCCACCTTGTCGAAGGATGACGGGAATGCTCGAGCGGCTTTACTAGGAGGCCGGCTTCGTATTGGAGCATCATCTCCAAGACGAGAGAGAGATATCATTCCTCACGCAGCCGAGGGTACCAATGGCTCACGATGCGGTGTGCATCGAAGCCCGCATGAGCTGATCTCACTGCTATGACTGCCCTGGCTGAGCGTACTGGACGAGTCTTGTTTCCCAGACGCCCAGCAGTCTCATCAAGCACTGTGACTTGTACAGCAACTCAAGCTGTGAGAGGACAATATTCGGGAGCTCAGCCGCCGTGGCATCGCCAGCCTCCACAGCTTGCTGAGCGGCGTGCATTTATGCCCGCCAGATATGAGCACACCTCAAGGACCAACCTTGCAACGTTTTGGTGAGGCTTTGCCACTTGGTGCTGTGCAGCTTGATCAGACCATTGAGCTTCTACGGCCACTTCCAGTGCAGAGGCAAGGATGGTTCATGACTTCATCTGGTGTGGAATCGTTGGCGTTGATGACTGGCTTGGCGGTGTGCATGTATGCCCGCCGAAGATGCATATACTCCACGAATCAACCTCTCCCAGCCGCGAGGAGTACTTGTCCCATGCTTTGGCATACTGAGTCCTGTCGTTGCGAGAGCTGGTGGTGAACTGCATGATCACACGACTCGATAGGCCAACGCTTGTTCCATGCCTTGGCAAGAGGAGCCCTGAATATGCTCTGCAGGCTTGGACTTGTGCTCAATGGGTTCAAGCTTGTGCGGGCAGGGTAGTCGAAGAGCGGTCTGCAGTGTATACTGGCCAACGAGGAGATGCTGAGAAAGCCCTCATCTGCGAGCTGTTTCCAAGGACATATCCGCCAGACAGGCACAACTTGGAGCTGTGCTCTCACAACGGTTCGACGGTCCATGTATCAGGTTCAGACCATGCCCGCCGTGTAGGTCAGCCCGGGGAAGACATCATCGCTCCTCATCCATCCAGTCATGTCGACGCACGGGCACCAATGCTTGACGTCTGGAATCCTGGCTGTTTCCAGGAACGAGCGGTAAGATCCTCCTTCGACGCTCAAACACTCCGCTGAGGCAAAGCTTGTCGTGCCTGAGACATGGACCCTGGTATATGCTCAGCAGGCCTGAAATGCTTTTACGCAGTGCATCGCGAGCACGTAGCATAAACTACGAGTTGTTTGCAGCATACCGGAGAGGAACAGAAGCTCATCCAGGTGGCTCCTCACAGACTTGTCTAGCCAGGAACACCTCATGAACCGATATGGTCGTCGTCCAGTGTATCATACATCTTGGGACCAAGTCATGCCCATCAAGGTCTAGCCATATCCGCCAGGTACTCGTTGCGAAGATTACGATGTCCACTCCAGCTCACAATGCCGATGCCTATGCCTTCGAGCTGCGGATATCAAACCTCATTGCTGTGTCTGCAATACAGCGCATAGACCTGTACCAGCCTTGATACGGCCTCCGCGGTGTCCTAACGTGGGTGGCTTTCCTGGACATGCTGCCGACCTTGAACAGCACCGCCAAGGCATAAGTCCCAGGGCGCCTGTGTCGTTGGATTGTGCTACACTCGTATTGCCAGCCGTCAATGCTTGTATGGCTATGGCATGCTCGCTGCCCAGCCGCACTGTATCCCGCGCAGCGTGATATGCCGCCACCGACCTTGCACACTCTGGCTCTCCCATGGCCGATGCTTGGAGCACTATCCAAAGCTCTTCGACCGCATGCTGCGCCATATCTGATGTTCCAACTCTTCACCTGCTTCGGTAATGGGTGTCCAAACTCGCTCCTCCTTGTCCGCTCCGGCCATGGGGCTGTTTGCTCTGATGCTCCGCACATCATCGTAGGGCTCTCGTCGCCTCAGATCCGGCCTCAGTCTGGCCAGGGTTCATGTCCAGTGAGGCATTACTCTTTCGCGTGTGCTCGCCGCTGAGTCTGCCCGTGCGCGCCTGCCGGTGAGGGTCAAAGCGTTAGGTGGCGGTGATTGAAGTGATCCGCAGACCATGTATTGCTGGTCGTGGGTCTCGAATGGATGTAGTATGGCTGTCGTAACAGTCGTTGCCTCGTCCGTACAGCCTGTTCGTCGTCGCCGGAACTCGCCGCATTGGTGTGGGTATTGATGTCGGCGGTGGTGCTGCTGATATGAGTATCGCCCACTCGACGCTCGCCCGCCCGCATTGACAAAGAGCAAAGGCCAGCAAACTCCGCAGGCAAACCATCTGTATTGATGGCGGCTGCTAATGGTAAGCACCTACTGTCATCGCCGCCGCAAATGATCATAGTGGAGGTGGGCACCGTGGTCGCCGACAGCGTGAGTACTACAGGGTCCGGCGACACAGCGGATTCCGCTATGGCGGCGCGACGACAACATAAAAAATGCCAACAATGTCAGAACACAGTACAAAGACATGGAGATTGCAGAGCAAGACGAGAGCTACAATCTGATACTAACACCATGTCGCCACGACCTTGTCGGCGCGAGTACTATCATGACGGGGTTACACCGGTCTGCCACAAGGTATGTTATATTCGATAATTTGGAGCAGCTGTTTCCGGGAAGAGGAGGAAACCCAGAAAAATGCACATTACATAGCTTTAATAGTTGCAATCAAGTTCAGTGCTAATAACATCACAGATCAAAGCCTATCCAGCAACACAGTTGCAAGATCATTCACGATCAACACTCTTTTTCACGAGTGTAGTGCTAACGGTTAACATTCAATGCTGCTTCATTGAGATCTGGGTTCGACTCCCAGCACTCGTAAATTCTTTTTGTCGTTTTCGTTTATCAATCGTACCTCCGAATAGCGTCAACTACCATCTCAACACCGCCGAATCGGCCACGCGCTCTCGCAGTCAAAGGCATTGCCTCCTTGCGGAGTTTTTGCACTGGGGATATGCACCGTCACAGTCGAGCGAGCCACTGTCTTTTGCTTTGGGCGGCGATGCCACGAGAATTAGGATGGACCGTGTCAGCTCTTGTGCCCTGGTTTTGCACATTACGTTCGAGGGACAGCCGCATTGGGGAGCAAATGCCTGTCAGAGGTCGAGCCTGGAATCTCGTCTGCAAGCAATCAATCTAACTGAGAGCAAATACCACTCAGGGGGACTAGCCTGAATATCTAGCAGTTGGGCGCACTTTGTCTGCAAGCAGTCTGCACGACAAGTGTACATGTAATCAGAAATCTGGTGTCATGCATCTGGCTTCTTCACACCCCAAATTCGAATCACGACCAACAGCCACACGACGGACGACAGAGACCATACCTCACGAACGGATTGATCGATTGCGATGGACTTCTTGTACCTGCGAATCGAGACCTTGTACGACTGACGGCTTCTTACGTTTGTCACTTGAGCGGCCGCAATCAATGCATGGACAGGCAACGATCGGAGGGGAACAGATGAGGCTGTGGTTGAAGATGCTGCCGGTCACATCCCGAGAGAATACATCAGTCAAAGAGATGAGCAAAGTGGGAAGTCGTTCGAACGCTACTGCAGGACGAATACCGTGGTGCTGCGAATTGGATACATAGAGAATGAGTCTGGCAAGAATGGAGTGTTTGGCATTGGCGGTCAGCTTCCACGAATGAATGACCCCAACCATGCCACTCGCAGCGCAGCTGATACCGTGGAGGAGGATGACTCAATGGTTCTCGTGACTGTTGCCTCACATGCGGACCTTCCACGATGATAGGTAGGATGTATCAATGGCAAGTTGCTTCGGCCGCCTGTTCGGAAGTCCAAATCCGGTGAGTGAAGACTGAGTACTTCGTCACGCTGCCCTCGTTGCAAGCAATGATAAACGTGCCGACATAAGACTGGCTAAGGGACGTCTTTGTTACCATGGTCTCGCTGCAAACGGTCAGACGTAAGTCAACGCCGACGTGGACTTTCGGCCTTTCCGTGGCGTCAAGAAGAGTGCAGCAGCCATGGTGGCCATGGTGGCCGAGCTTGTGCTAGCAATGGCTGTCTTCCAGCGCATTGATAGAGCTGACATCTAGCCTGGTTGTCTACAGAACCCTCTGGATCACTCGGCAACAAACTAGCTATTCGAGCCTAGCTGTGCAGTGCTCCTTCCTCTTGCGTCTTTCCCGAGCCGACGTTGCGGCGAAAGTGCTTTAGCTTAAACGTTCTTCGATCCACAACAACACTTCATCACAAACATCGACCTCCTCCACATCAACATCAACAACATTATCGTTTCACATCACTCACTCATCACTCACTCTCACCACTCACACTGTCACTCATCATGGATCATCCGGATGTGGCTCGCATGAAGATGGACCTGGGCATCGGCCGTCGCGATGTTGTCTCAACGCCGCAGGCTGACGGCAAAGGTCGCGTTATGCGCGTTGATCCACGCATCGAGCGCAGCATCAAGGAGAAAGATGAAGAGCGCCGAGCTCGCATTATCAACGGCGCTCCCCAGGATCTGAAGGGGCCCGAGAAGGAGAAGGCCGTGTTGCTCGCGAAGTGGAACAGTAAGTGACGGCCACTCCATGCGATTTAACCATTACTGACACAAACATCACAGCCCTTGAGGACGCCAGCGCGCGTGACTCCGGTCTCGAGCTTCGCTGCAACGGCCAAGGCCATCGCGCGCAAGTCGAGGCGAATGTTCACCAGAAGCAGGGGTATGGGCCCGAGTCTCGCCTTGGAGAGGAACGTCAGATGTACCTCAGCCAGCGTGCTACATCCGGTAACTTCGGCGGTAACAACTATGTCACCACTCCTCGTTCCGCTCGCGCGTTCGACAATCAGAACAGCACCCCGCGCAGCCTCCCTCCCTCTCGATCCACCATCCAGCCTCCCACCGGCCCGCGCAGCGCGAACGTCAATCGCGCTCCGGATCCGCGCGCTGCGCATGGTGTCACGCGCTTCGTCAATGGCCAGCGTACCGAGCGACCCGCGACTGCTACCCGTCCTCGTACAGGGCCGTCTACTCTCATCACCCAGACCCCCACCAAGCCGAAGGCACCCAGCGCTGCACCCAACACGCTGGCATCTCCGAGTGGCGTTCTCCGCAGCTTCCCGAATGGAGTGCCGCGCGCTACTACAGCACCGTCACTTCAGAGCAAGCCGTCCACCACCTTCCTCACTCAAAGCACTTCCACTGCCACGCGCAGTCTCGTGACCGTGCCTGCAGCCCCACGTCTGTCAGCTCCGAAGGCGCCAACGATGACCACGAGCCCGCTCGACGCTGCCACCACGCGCACTACTGCGACTACGTCTGCCGCCCCGCGTCTGCCAGCTGGGCTAGCGCCTGCAACGACCCCAAGCCCACTGGACGATGCCACCACGCAGGTCTACCTCAATGTCGCCCGCGACTTCGCCGCGAATCCCGGTCCGAAGTGCGATGCCTACTACCAGAAGCACCCTAATCAGCGTTTCACGCTCAAGCAGGAGCAGATTAGGCTTGTGAAGGCAATCTATGGAATGGTGAAGAACCCGGAGAAGCACGAGGTCGCAGAGTACTTCGCGCTGCACAAAGACCGCCTGTGGATTTACGAGGAGTGCGTCAAGGCGGGCGCCATGGTTGAGAAGGGCCTGATTGAGGAGGTGGATGCGCGCTGCACGGACCCTTACGCGACATCGTACCACATCAACAAGGGCGCGAAGCACTTCTTCAAGGCCAAGCCTGTCACCGATGCGGCTCCGTCCTCATCCGTGAAGGGTGACACGAGCTCCAGTGCTGTCAAGGAGACGGAGATTAAGGATGTTGCGACCAAGTTCGAGGCCGAGAAGCGTAGACAAGCGCGTCTGGAGGCTGCCCGCAAGGAGCTTGAGCGTGAGGAAGAGGCGGAGGAGAAGGATCGCTTGGAGCGGAATAAGCGAGCTGCCGAGAAGTCGAGCAAGCCGGTCACCAAGTCCGCGAGCGAATCTGCTGCCAAGACCGTGGACATCAACAAGTCGGCCCCGTCATCGGACAGCATGCCAGGCTCGTTCCCTCAGGAGGTTGCCACATCTGCTGCGGCCGACAAGCCCACCACCGACAACCAAGGCACACTGTCTGCGGTCTTCATGAGTGTGGCAGGCAAGCTCGTTGACGAGCAGAGCTGGCCCATCAAGCTCGCTGCTGATCTGAAGTTCACCATCCAGGCGAAGAGCGAGGTTGATGTCGGCAAGGTCATCGCGGAGGTAGAGCGTCTGGCTCGTCGTCTCGGGGTGTCCGGCCTCGCCGAGGCTCGCGTGAACGCAAGCATCGCGATGGGGATGCGCTGTGCGTCTGCTCACAATTCGAAGGAGGCGAGGATCGTGCAGAAGGAGGATGGTGTGTTCGAGGAGGAGGACTAGGCTGAGCCTATGTCGTTCAGGCGTGCGAGGAAGATGAAACGGTAGAGCTTTGTGCACCCGGGCGGAGCGTCGTGGGTCGAAGCTGTTGCATCTGCATGAAGTTCGGTGATGTTTGGTTGCTTCATAGCTAGCAAGCATTGCCTCCTCTTCCCATGTCCCCGTTGACTCATGCACTGTCTGCTCGAGGTCATAGCTTGCAGCGATCATGACCTTGACTTGAGAGCCTGTGTTGGTAAGGTGCAACATCTTTGTGACGAAAGCTGTGCCTTCCATACTACTGTACTCACCAGGATCGCGTAGCTGCCAAGATGTCATGCGCTGCAACGTTGCGAAAGATGCCCTGTCCTTGTTCTTGTGCTTATGCACATATGACATTTGTGCAGCGGTCTGATCAAATCGTGCTTCGAGCTATCATCATATTACTTTCGTCTGCTCTACATCTATGCACCAGAAGCCCGCTAATCGCCGTCAAATGCAGAAAGGGTATCCCAAACGCTCATGTAAATGCAGTACAAACTTTCCTCCTTCCATGCACAGTTGGAGACCAGCAACCATGTTTATATCCCCATAGCGGAAAGCTTATGACAGCATCATCGCGCCGACGAGAGCCACGAGCAATGCTCCGTAGCTCGAAGCCGTTGTTGCGACACCTGCGTTTGTCGTCTGCATAGCTGCACCACTGCCGCTCGATGAAGGTCCTGACGCCGTGTTTGTAGCAGGACCCATGCTCCCTGAAGCCGTGACCGTGATGGGTACGTAGCTCATCTGGCTCGCAGCGAGGGTGGTGGTCTGCGTGCCGTTGTTGCCCACGCCCATTCCCGGTCCCATGGGCATACCCATAGCTCCCTTGTCGAGAGCAGACATGGCGGTACAGACGGCGGAGGTTGCAGAGGTGCCGCCGTAAAGTTGACAGGCTACGGTCGTGACGTCGGGTACGAGGGCAGTACCGCTTGCGGCAGCGCTGTGGAGAGCATTCGTTAGTATGAGTTCTTCGTGTTGCTTGTCGCATAGCTTGGCAATTTCAAGTAGCACTTACATCGCATGCTGGCCATTGCTCCAGGTGTAACGCAGAGTGCTCTCGCCTTCCGTGATGGTGACCGAAGAGTCGAGCGAGCAGCCCGGTGCGCAGGCGTCTGACACAATCTCACATCCTATCGCATATACAGTTGCTGACGGGGCCTGATCAAGGTTAGAGTGGTTCCTGGGGTCCAATCTTGAAGGATGAACAAGCAACTTACTGCAGTGATGATCGAAGCTGCAAGGTTGTCGCCGCCGAATGGGAGGTATAACGATGTCGTCGTTGGCGCGAGTGTGCTGCTTTGCGCGACGGCCATGGTCGCTATCGCCACAACGGCAAAGGTTGAGGAGGAGCGCATCTCTTCTGGCTGGATGGCTCTCGGGTCTCCGCGATAACTGTGTAGATGCTGTGTAACGATAGAAACGCTGGGAGAAGCTGGGAGAGGG